AGGCTAGCACCCTACCACACAGCCTGTAGAACCCCTGCCCCACGAGTCATCGGTTGTCTAACCAATATTCATTTCCCTTGGCCCCTAGAAGCAAAACAAGATCATGTTTCATTTGGAACGTGTCCACATGGAAAAGATTACCTTCCTCTCAGATAAATTAGTCGTGGAATAGCTTAAATTCTGACCCATGGCAAGTTGGCTAAAATAACCAGTGAGCCATCTTGGAAGGTTCTTTTTTTGTTTTTGTTTTTCAGTTATGGGGCTTGAACTCCGGGCCTGGGCGCTGTCCCTTAGCTCTTCAGCTCAAGGCGAGCGCTCTACCACTTGAGCCACAGCGCCACTTCCGGTGGTTTATTGGAGAGAAGAGTCTCATGGACTTTTCCTTGCCCGGGCTGGCTTTGAACTGTGATCCTCAGATCTCAGCTTCCTGAGTAGCTAGGATGACAGGCGTGAGCCACCGGCGCCCGGCTTTTTAATAATTATGTATTCACGGAAGCCATCATATGCAACTGAAATACATTATCCCAACCCGGCTCCTAGCTCTACAGCCCTCCCAGCCCTTGAGATTTCTGGGAGATGCACCTTTGACCCATCTCTCCAAATAGAACTCACAGCCGTCTGGTACCACACTCCCTCCCCATGTGTCCTTCTCTTCCTTTCCAGTAACACCCCCGTCCCCCCCCCCCGCCCCAGACTCACTCACCGAATCTGCAGTGGTTGATCTTGGTATAGATCAGGCCCATGGGGATATTCCAGCCAGCATTCCTGTTGACGCCCGTGTGGCAAGACTTCTTGCCTTGTAAATTGTCCCAGGTGATGCTGGGATCAGACTTCTTCACCACAGCCACGCTCAAATATCCTACGAGACAGACCGCCACCACCAAAGAGGTGTGTCACTACCTCTTAAGCCTTCACTGTGTCTACTAGAAGGGGCTGGGAAGGTGGCTCCGTGGTAGAGTGCTTGCCTCGCATGCATGAGGCCCTGGGTTCGATTCCTCAGCACCACATACACAGAAAAAGCCAGAGGTGGCACTGTGGCTCAAGGGGTACAGCACTACCTTGAGCTGAAGAGATGAGGGACAGCGCCTAGGCCCAATGGACCGATAAAAAAAAAAAAGTCCACTAGAACAGCTAGTATAACACTAACATTTTATCAAGTAATATGTTTGGGGGTAGGGTATCAAGAGACCAAATAATCAGGAATAATCGGATTTGTTGGGTTTTTCTTTTCTGATAAGGAGAGCATAGTTTTATGCCAAAATAAATATGGAGCAAGTGGAAAATGTAAAAATCAAACCATCAGAAAATTTTCAGCAGCAAACACATCCTGGTCTTGCATGATGAAAAATAGAACAACCCAAGATTTTATTTCTAACGAAGGAATCAACTAAGAATGGCTCTTTCTAGATACACTAAAGATCTTGTCTCCTAGAGAGAGAGAGAGAGGACTAAGGAAGGCTGGGAGGTAGTCCTACCTTATAAAACTAAATGAGAAATCCAGTTTTCCACCCATTGCCGAAGCCTGGTGACTCCCTTTCAACATGCATTTGCATTCCAAGACTTACTTGATCTATCCCATTGCCTTGCCTACTGATAATTTGATTTTTCAACTTACTGTTCTCCCCCCTTCTCCCCACTCCCAACCTCCCCCCAAAATGGGATTATACCTTTTAATGCCTGAAGTTTCCAATTTCTACTCACCTTCCTCTGGTGGACTTTCACAATTTGGGTTTTCTAGAGGAAAAGAAAAGTAAGAAAATGGTAAATGCTCACGTAGAGATGGGGAAACCACACCTTTCTCACGCAGCAACCAAGAATAGGACTCATACAACCATGCATGTTAGCTGTGTAACCCTAGCTGCTCAGAAAACTGAGATCTGAGGATTCCGGTTCAAAGCCAGCCCGGGCAGGAAAGTCTATGAGACTCTTCTCTCCAATGAACCACCATCCCCAGACACATACAAACACACGCAAAGCAGAGTTGTGGCTTAAGTGGTAGAGAGCTAAAACCTTAAGCCCAAAAACTCAGAGACAGAGCCCAGACCCTGAGTTCAAGCCTCAGAACCAACAGTAAGTTAAGAAGCTGGGAAGGTGGCTCAGTGGTAGAGTGCTTGCCTTGCATGCACGAGGCCCTGGGTTCGGTTCCTCAGCACCACAGAAGCAGAAAAGAAGCTGAAGTGGCGCTGTGGCTCAAGTGGTAGAGCGCTCGCCCTGAGCTGAAGAGCTGAGGGACAGCGCCCAGGCCCAGAGTTCAGAATTCGTGACAAATCCACACTGTCTGGACCACACAAGTTCATTTCATTTGCTGCCCTGGACAACTGAGGCACAACATGTAGATCCTAAGTTTCCTGCCCTGTCTGTCCTGAGCCTGCTAGGGGTGCTGGTTCAGTATCCCAGTTTATCCCCCCAATGAGGCAAGAGAAAAAGCTTTGGATTCTGGAAATCAGAAGACCTGCCCGCCCCGGGTCCCTGGCAGCCGGATCACTGTTGTCATGTTAGCAGGGATGTCCTGGTCGTAATACTTCCATTCCCCCAGCAGGACATCGGCCAACCTTTTAGCTGTGGTGATTTCAGCTGAGGAAACCTACACCGTGAGTGGTTAGGAGACACTCAAACCAGGCACCCTGGCATGAATCAGCTTGTGATCTTGTTGTTTTTCTTTCCATCTCTTCTCTCCGGTGGAAAACATAAAGAGGGTCTTGGGAAATCCACGGTGATTCGTAAAGTGCCCCCAACCCAAGTGGCGTCCCCTCTCCACTCACTGTAGTTCTCGGCCAGGACAGGCACCAGACCGCACTGGCCTGCAATGTACACGTATCCTCCGTCCGTGCTCATGGCGTCCGCCTCTCCATTCTGCAAAGACCCGGCAAATTACACTTCTGGTGTGTGTGTGTGTGTGTGTGTGAGAGAGAGAGAGAGAGAGAGAGAGAGAGAGAGAGAGAGAGACCTGCCCTAGAGCAACTGTTTCCTTCCATCTCTCCCATTTCTCTGGGTCCTATTTCACAGTACATGAAGGGGGTTCCCACTTCTACCAGAACTGTAACCCCCATCTTCAGGAACCGCTCTAGTCACCGCAGGTTCCGTTGAGTCCCTGTCCATAGTGACCCAGCGGTGGTTCACATTAGCCACTCTTCTGATGTTGATCTTAGGGTTCGGACGCAACATCTGGCAGCCCTTTCCGACACGAAAGACTCAAATGCTGATGTTAGCGTCGGAAGGTGTAACTCTTTTAAAAATGCTTCCAGCCGGGCGCTGATGGCTCACGCCCGTCATCCTAGCTACTCAGGAGGCTGAGATCGGAGGATCACGGTTCAAAGCCAGCCCTGGTACCCCAAGTCTGTGAGACTCTTAGCTCCAGTTAACTACCCCCTTCCAAAAAGAAACAAAAGCTGTGGTTCAAGTGGTAGAGCGCTCGCGCTGAGCTGAAGAGCTCAAGGACAGCGCCCAGGCCCAGAGTTCAGGCCCCACCCATGCTCCTCACGACATTCCACACCCCCAGTCTCCACCCCGCCTAGGATGTAGCTCCGATTGCTGTTGGATGAGGAATCCGAGTCTTTGATGTGTTATCCTGCACATCGTGAGGTCCCGGATGGTACTACCCAAAGCACGGGGGTCAGGGAGGGAGGGCAGGGGTGACGTACCACAATCTTGGCGATACAGTCCTCGGGGGTCTCTGCCGACTCGCATTCTATCACCCCTCCGCTGTTGACGCTCCACTGGTCACACTTGAGCCTCTCGTGGTGGCTGAGGGCACACCACTTCACGCTCTTGCACTCCTCCTGAGCCTCAGCCGGGCCTGGGACACGAGAGAAAGAACCTTCGCCGGGAGCCAGTGGCTCACGCCTTGTCATCCTAGCTACTCAGGAGGCTGAGATCTGAGGATCACAGTTCAAAGCCAGCCCGGGGCCAGGAAAGTCCATGAGATTCTGATGTCCAACGAACCACCAGCAAACCGGAGGTGGCGCTGTGGCTCAAGTGGTAGAGCGCTCGCCTTGAGCTGAAGAGCTGAGGGACAGCACCCAGGCCCAGAGTTCAAGCCCCACGACCAACCAAAAAAAAAAAAGAACCTTCGTGTAAATGCCAGGATTTTCCAGCGAGACATAAAGCAGTCTTGTTCAAGGAATTCATCACCTTAGAAAGCAAACTCCTAATTCTTTTTTGGTTTTTTGGGTTTTTTTTAGTCATTTGTGGGTCTTGAGCTCAGGGCCTGTGTGGGTGCTGTCCCCAAGCTGCTTTTGCTCCATAGTGCCACTTCTGGTTTCTGCCTGGGGATGGCATTGTACGAGGCCTGGGTTCGATTCCCAGCACAGTAAATACAAGTCTTTGGTGACGTGCGGGCCAATCGAGTGGGGCTAATTCCACGTAGCATGGAGGCTGCTTCTGGGGCTAGCAGGCAGGGCAGGGCATAAAACAAGCAGGGGTGTCACCTGTTCCTAGGCTGCTGCTCAGGTGAGCTTCTATTCCCTGCCCCTCTCCCCCCCAGGACTTACATATGCCTTCCCGTTGGTTCCGAAGGGTGGTGATGTATTGATGACCCAGGTACAGCTTGTAGTCCATCCCCGGGGGAACCCGTAAGAAGCCCACAGCAGAGTCCTTGAACATGAGGTTCTTCCCGTGGGGAGAACTGAAGAGGTCGAAGTCCTTTGATTTGCCTTTGCTGAAATGTTCCTGCCCAGAGCAAAGCAGGGGTGGGGTGGGGGGGAACCGTGAGCACCAGGAGGCAGGGCCCAGGGAGAGGAGGAAAGCTCTAGAAAGCAAGATGGACATCCCCTTCCCCACAGAGAGCCCCCGAGATGCTTTTTCGGGTGAGGTGGAGGGGGTTCAATGGAAGAGAATAGAATAACGCCACGAGGAGACATCACTGAGCCCGAAGCCAAAGGGTCCTGGGTGGTGGGGTGCTCTTGTGGGGAGACGGGCCCATCTCGGGGCACCCAGAAAGCGGTGGCGGGAATACCTGGGCCTTGTTGAGGATCTCCCAGATCAGGTCCTCCTTGCTGTCCACGCTCCGGGCCACCACGGCGTGGGAAGGCACCCGGGCCAGGTGGCACTGCTCGTACTCGTCCACCGGCCTCCGGGTGTTGTCCGGACACAGCAGCTCATACTGGTCCCTGTCGGCCTTCTCGGGCAGGACCTCTGGGGGGGGAGGCAGAGCACAGGCCGGCTGGCCCCAGGCAGAGCCCCCCACGCGCGTGCACACCAGCTCCCTTCCCCTTCCTCCCCCCCATCTGGCCATCTGGAGGGTGACACAAGGCCTGGTGGTGTTCCCAGAGGGCCAGGGAACTTTCTAGAAAAAGTCTCTGCCTGCAGTCATTCTCTTTCTGGGGAGGGGGGAAAAATCTAGTTCCTTCCAGATATTTCTAGAAAAGGTCTTTTGCAGAACATTTGTCTGCAGTCAGATGAACGCATGAGGACTCCCCCCATGCATCACCCCCCCCCGCCGCCCCATGACTCACTCACACTCTGCCCTCCCCCCCCCAGCCTAGCACAGTGAGGAAAGGCAGAAGGATGGAAGAGGCCCGGGAATCCATATCGGAACCCCTAAAGGACCCACCCACCCCCAGACAGACAGAAAAACCTAAGCGACGGCCAAGAAGAAACGGTGCCCCGCTCTTGTCTGACCACCGGGCAGGAAAACCCAAACAAAACAATGCTCACGATGTAGAGCACACCCACCCACCAGAACCTTCCCCGGGGACTTACCAAATATGGTGGCGTGCTTGATAAAGGCCACATCTCCACCACCGTCCCTCAGACACCTGCGCGGGCGGGAGGAGCACATGAGGAGGCCTCCGCCTCCTGCGTCTGGAGGCCCATAGATCATTCTACCCAGAGTCTGGAGGTACAGCCTCATGGGGGGCTAACTTGTAGGGGACCACTGAGTGGAGGGGAGATGAGCTCACACACAGGCAACAAGAAGACACTGAAGATGCTTCAGTGCATTACAAGTTCTTTTTTGGTGTGTGTGTGTGTGTGTGTTGTGTGTATGTGTTTGTGCATGCACGTACCAGTGCACTGTTACTTGAACTCAGAGCCTGGGCGCTGTCCCTCAGCTCTTCAGCTCAAGGCTAGCGCTCTACCACTTGGGCCCCAGCCTTTTCTGCTTATGTGGCGCTAAGGAATCAAACCCAGGGCCTCATGCCTGCAAGGCAAGCAATTCTACCACTGAGCCACCTTCCCAGCCCCACGTGGCGGGGAGTCTTGTACTCACTTGAAGGCACCGACGTAGCCAAAGTATGGGTTCTGGGAAGAGCAGCCACACCCTGGGCAGAGCTGACACAGTTTGGGGAAGGCAGCCGCGTCTGCGCAGGGGACACAGCTACCCGAGAAGAAATTGGCCACTGCTGCTCAAGGCAAAGAAATGGACAAAGAAAGCGTGAAGTAGGGGCTTGATCCAGTGACAGCCGAGTGCCATCTCCCAGCCAACCCCCTCCCCCCAAAACGTTCCAACCCTGGTCCCTCCACCGGCCTGCGTTTCCCACCAGTGGATGCTTGCCTCTGGCTGGCTGGTGACCCTCATGAGTCTGGGACCGCCACTGGGAGACCCGACCACCATTTCGGCAGGGAGAACCTCTTGGAGAGGTTGCAGTACATGCTCATGGCCAGCAGATGGCAGCCAGAGGAGAGTAGCGCTGCCCAGCTCACCTTTCTCCAGGGGCTTCCGGGGCTCGGGTAAATCACAGTAGAGCCAGCCGATGGGAATGTTCCACCCGGCAGACCTGCCCAGCCCCGTGTGGCAGGACTTCTTGCCCTGGAGCTGGTTCATCTGGAAGTCAGTGCCTTTCTTCACCACGGCCACCGCGTAGTAGTCAGTTTGAGGCTCTGCCACGGGGAAGGGGGGAATGAGTGGAACCGGAAGCCCGTGGAAACATCATGGGCACGGCCAGCTGGAGGCACCAGTGATCGCCGGTGCTTTGGCAACCCTGGCCCCTGGGGCATGTGTACCCGATGGCTGCCAACCCAAGGCCTGCAGGAAACGAGGTGGTAGATTCGTATTCCCTGTGATACTACTTCCTGTCTCCTGTCCCTCTCCCCAGGGACGATCGGAGTAGGTTGACGCTCTGTCTGTCTGTCTCTCTCTGTGTCTGTCTCCCTCCCTCCCTCCTGGGGTTCCCAAGTATCTCCAGGGATCCCGGACATATCCGTGAACCATACCAGATACACCGGCCCCTTAACCAGCCCGTAGCCCAGAGAGGCCTTGATTTGTGCTAATCAGATGTCCAGCAGGGCCTTTCCTGCCCCCCCTCTCCCCGCCCCATTCCTCCTAATCACACCCACGCAGAACTCACTCTCTGCTGATCCGTAGAACTCCACCACAACAGGCTTCAGGTTGTTGGGAGCCAGGCCCGCTTCGTAGACCAAACCACCATCTACCGTGGCGGCATCCGCTTCCTTCCCCTAGAAGAACAAGGCAGAACGTCGAGGGAGCCTGGCTCTCAGGGAAGGCTCAGCTCCGGCAGATGAGTTGGGACTGACTTGGTGGGGACGGAAGAAGGCCACCCTTTTGTCCCGGTACAGAGAAATCGATGGAATCTATTCTCTCCTGGTGAAGCTTCTGTGTGGATTGGCTCTTGATGATCACCAAGAACTTGACCTGTTAGGCTCTCCTCATCCCACAGATAGTGACCCGAGCTTGAACTCAGGTCCAGGGCAAGCTTTCTCTTAGCTTTTTTTTCACCCAAGTCTGGTGTCCTACCTCTTGAGCCACACCAGCTCTTTGGTGGGTTCATTGGAAAAGTCCCTTGGCCTTTCCTTCCCCAGGCTGGGCTTTGAACCACGATCCTCACCTCCCAGCCTCCTGAGTAGCTGGGATGACAGGCGTGAGCCCCCACCGGTGGCCGAGCTCCCACCCGCTGTCTTTTTTTTTTTTTTTTTAGTCGCAGTCGGCTTACCGAGATGGCCTTGATGCAGTCATGGCTGGAGGCTTTCTTCACGCAGGCGAGCTGGGGGCCGTCCGCCGGGAGGACGGTTTTCATGATGTCACGGAACGCGGCACACTTGCTGCCCTCATGGTCGGACACAGCGCACCACCGGACCGTCTTCTCCGGGGTGGCGAGGCCCAGCCCTAGGAGAAAGCAGGCACAAGGCCTCAGGGCTCCACTTCCCGCGCCCAGGCAGAGACAGTGCCACCCTCCTGTCCTTGCGTGGCTCAGATCTTTCCCCTCTCCTTCCTAACGATCCTGTTGTGCCCAGAGAGATGTGGGCAAGCCGGGCACCAGTGGCCCACGCCTGTCATCCTAGCTACTCAGGCGGCTGAGACCTGAGGATCGCGGTTCAAAGCCAGCCCAGGCAGGAAAGTCCGTGAGACTCTTACCTCCAGCGAACCACTAGAAAACTGGAAGTGGCGCTGTGGCTCAAGCGGTAGAGCTGCTAGCTTTGAGCTGACGAGCCGAGGGACAGCGCCCAGGCCCAGAGTTCAAGCCCCACGACTGACAAAAGAGAGAGAGCGGGAGAGAGCACAAAGTCTTTCCAACCAAGGTGACCCTGCTTGTTCACGTCCAAGCCGGGCACACACATACCGCTCTCTTAGGCTCACGATCCGCCAGCGAGGGCACAAAAATCAAGATGGCAGTTCCTTAGGGAGGCTCAAGAATTTGCCTGCGACACTCGCCAGCCATTATTCATCCCCCTTTGGAGACAAATAACCTAGAAGCTCCAGCCGTCCACCCATTCTTCCCTCTGTTTGCACCCAGCTCTTGCCGCGGCCCTGACAGTCCTTCAGAGAGGCCACGCGCATAGCCACTGAACTGCAGCAGCTCCTATGACCCAAGCTTGGGTGCCACCATCTTCCTCCCGGCCTCCGGCTGCCCAGGTGGCATTCACGTGCCCAACCTGGGACGGGCCACCCAGGCAGGCCCAAAGCTCCATGGGTAAAGTCAGCCCTTCTCTGAGATGGAGAGAGAGAGAGACAGTTGAGAACTGATAACCCCGTGCCCCTCCCCTCTCCATTCCACCTCAGTCAATGGAAACAAGGCCACCGAGGGCCAAGAGCCCCGCCCCTCCCATCCTCAGCCCCGCCCGCCCGCCCGCCTGCCTGGGCCCTGCATCTGTGAGCAAAGCAGCAGTCCAGCTCCCAGGGCACCCCGGAAGTTGGGATGGTGGGGGTCAGGCGAGGAGCAGGTTCAGATCCTGAGGCAGGAAGAGCACGTGGGGATAAACTTGGGGTTACCTGTGTTCTCGCTTTACCTTTTTTTTGTTGCATTTTGTTTCTATTTTTGGTAGCAAAAGGGGTTGAAATTCAGGGTTCCACCCTTGCTGGGCAGGTGTTCTACCGCTTGAACCATGCCTCCAGCCCCTTTTGATAGTGGTTATTTGAGTTTTTTGTTTTAAAGCCTGGCCCAATTTGATTTATTTTTGTTTTGGTCGGTCGTGGGGCTTGAACTCAGGGCCTGGGTGCTGTCCCTTGGCTCTTCAGCTCAAGGCCAGCGCTCTACCACTTGAGCCACAGCGCCACTTCCGGCTTTCTGAGGGGTTCATTGGAGATCAGAGTCTCATGGACTTTCCTTGCCCGGGCTGGCTTTGAACCGCGATCCTCAGATCTCAGCCTGTCCCGAGTTGCTAGGTATGAGTACAGCTATGAGCCACTGGCGCCCAGCTGCCAACAGGACCTTCATCCTCCTATTTCACGCTTCCCAGAACAGCTGGGACAGGCAGATGCACGCCACCGGCCAGTTTAGAACTCGCTCTTTAGTGTAGCTCACAGCCATGAAGAGCATCACAGAGGCTGGAGCAGGGGCACATTGGAGACCAGCAAAGCCCACAGACGGTGGGGGGGGGCAGGCAGGAGAGGAGGAGAGAGCTGGAAGGGTGGGTGCTATCCATCCCCGGGCCCACAACCACTCACCTAGGATAGCACTGGCCAGCAGGGCGCCCACCGCGAGCCTCATCCTCCCAGCCTGGCAAGGAGCCGTAAGCACAGACCCACGGGCTTCTGCGCCGTGCCTGTGCGGCCCGCACCCCTTTATCCCCGGCCCAGGCCGGCCAGGGGGGGAGCAACCTTTGACCTCTCATGTTTGTGCAGCCCGATTACCCAATCACCCCTTTTGTCCATCCCTCCCCACCCCCTGCCTCCTTCACCCCAACGATCGGTTTCCAGCTCATTTCCTGAGCTCCGGGGGTGGAATCCGGCACACAAACACTTCTCCCCCCACCCCACTCCCCGGGAAGGGAACAGAAGGAAAAATCCAGTCTTTGTGCTGGCGGCGCCTTGCGTGCCAGGAATTACAGCAGTGGCTGTGGGAAATAGCCACGAAGTGACCTGTCTTCTCCCAGGACAAAGGGCCGGCACACACATTAGAGCTTGCCTTTTATTTTAATTTCTTTAAGCAGAGGCTTCAACAGGGATCCTAGGACACACACCCATCTCTGGTAAAAGGCCACTGATGGCCTAACCCCCCCCCAATCTCTTCACAGCCAGGCTAGGGACGGTTCCCCTCCTCCCCGCCCCCCCCGCCCCTCACCCCGCTAGCTCTGCCAGGAAGCCAGAAGGGCAGGCCCTCGAATTCTAGACAGCTCAGTGCGGAGCGCCCATGGTGACGGCCTAGAATTCCGCCCGATGCCTTTCTGCAGGGACAGGCTAGCTTTGGAGGTGTGCCTGGTTATATGGGGTGCCCAGGTCTCTGTGTGTGTGTGGAAGGGGGATTGTAGAGGTAAGGGGTTGGCATCATGGGGTTCTGTATCTGTGATGGCCCCAGGACATTTGCACGGGGGCAGGGGCTGCCTTAGGTGGTTTAATTCTATGTCTAAGAAACGTCTCAGGTATGGACACAGGCAGACCTGCTCCCTTCTGCCAGGAACACCATGGGTACACTGAGTCAGGGACAGGCATGGGTGTCCGGCCCTGCCTTCGTGGATGGCACTTCCGGTCTGGTTGGCAGAAGGGCTGGTCAGTCTAGGACAGGACGTAGGGCCAGACCACAAAACCTGGAGCTGGCCCAGTTGTGCTCAGCCAGAAGAACACACACACACACACACACACACACACACGGCAGAGGCTTCTGCCCTATGCCACCTGGTTGTGAACCACAATCTGATGATCTTGACCAACAGCCTGACGAGAGGAAGTCAGTTTCGTAGCCAGAGACGCTATAGGAAAATGACAGCTCTGCCGGGCGCCGATGGCTCACGCCTGTCATCCTAGCTACTCAGGAGACTGAGATCTGAGGATTATGGTTCAAAGCCAGCCCGAACAGGAAAATCTGTGAGGCTCTGATCTCCAATAACCCACCAGAAAATCAGAAGTGGTGCTGTGGCTCAAGCGGTAGAGCGCTGGCTTTGAGCTGAAGAGCTGAGGGACAGCGCCCAGGCCCAGCGTTCAAGCCCCATGACAGACAAAAGAAGGAAAATGACAGCTCTTTTTTTATCTGTGATCTTTGGGATTATAGCTTTCTTTAAATCAAAGGTCCTTCCTTCCTTCCTTTTTCCTTCCTTCCTTCCTTCCTTCCTTTTTTCTTTCTTTTGTTTTTTTTTTTTTGGCTAGAGCCAAAAAAAAAAGCTGGAGCTTGAACTCAGGGCCTGGGTACTGTCCTTGAGCCTCTCTGTGCTCAAGGCTAACACTCTACCACTTGAGCCACAGCATCACTTGCAGATTTTTCTGTGTATGTAGTGCTGAGGAATGGAACCCAGGGCTTCATGCATGCTAGACCAGCACACATGTCCCTCTGCTTGAGGGGAAGACTTGGGAGCGGGGGGCTTCCAGTCCCAGACCACCCCAAACATCCTCCAGATCTTCCTAGCACAGACACGGAATGGAATCCTCCTGATCCAGCCCAGAGTTGGCGCCACCCCTTAACCACAGCAGAGCCCGTGTGTACGTGCAGCGGAGAGAAGCGGGGGGCAGGAAGGCAGAGAGCCTCTGAACCAATATTTGCGATTTCCAAATGTGACCCAATTTACATAGGAGCAGAGCAAACAAAGAGCCTGTCTGTCTGCGTGTCCCCTCCCGCCCCATCTCTACCATTTCACCCCCCCCGCAGCGCCCACTGTCCAACATCAGAACCTTCTATGAAAGCCTGGGTCTGTGATCTGAAGAGAGCAGCCTGATACTCTGGCCTGAGGGCCAGTTCCTCTGCGGGCCTGGGGGCTGGAAGCTGGCGGGGTGGGGGGAGGCACGCAGGGAGGGAGGAGGGGGAGAGGATAGAGGGGAAATGGGCAGCCATTTTGATATGTCACATGACCACATGCCCCAGACCCAGCAGGTGCACCTGGGACAGGTTCCGTCACACCCTCCAGCCCAAGGGGCTGGGACAGAGCCCTGGGTTCGATTCCTCAGTAGATACCACATAACACAGCAAAAGCCAGAAGCGGTGCTGCGGTTCAAGTGGTAGAGCGCTAGCCTGGAGCACAAGAAGCTCAGGGACAATACAAAGGCCCTGAGTTCAAGCCCCAGGACTGGCAAGAAATAAATAGCCAGGCGCGCCGGCAGCTCACGCCTGTCATCCTAGCTACTCAGGAGGCTGAGATCTGAGGATCGTTGTTCAAAGCCAACCTGGGCAGGAAAGTCTGTGAGACTCTAATCTCCAAGTAACCCACCAGAAAACCAAAATGGCACTGTGGTTCAAGTGGTAGAGCACCCAGAGTTCAAGCCCCGTAACCAAAACTCAGGAACCATACCCAAATCCTGAGTTCAAGCCCCAGGACACACACACACACACACACACACACACACACGCACACAGAATATAAGAACATTTAGGCAGCTTGCTTAACTTGCAAGAACCCTCCATTCCTAACACTGAAAAAAAATAATTTTACTGAATGATGCTATCTGTCACACCTATCAAAATTAACAATTATTCCCCTAGTCAGTAGAGTAATTTCTCTGTTGGTCTCAAAAAGAAAAAAAAAAAAGATTAGGTACTCCAAGTGGATTCTGGGGGTTGCTCAGTTGGCAGAGGGCTAGCCAGTGAGCAAAACGCATTAGGTACGGAGTTCAAATCCTGGTCTCGGGCCAGAAAGGGCAAGCAACCGAAGGGATTCTGATACAGGTATGCCATTGGTCGCAGCTCTGGGGTAGCCTATAAGAAGGTCCCAGCACGCTTATCACAAGCTAGCTAGCTTATCGGAGAAACGAGACCTTTGCCCTCTGGAATTTCCAGAGCTCTGGAAATTGGCTCACCTGTGTGTTCCTGGTGTGACTTTAACACACCGCCCCTGTCTCTGTTCAGCGGCTGTGTCAAGGACACAGCCTTCACCCGGGGTTTTCTGGAATTACCTCATGCAGTCTGACTTGTCACAGATCGAAGCAGGTGCTCTACCACTCGAGCCACACCCCAGCCCTGGTTTTCCCATTTAATTAATTTATTTTTTGTCATTTGTGGGGCTTGAACTCAGGGCCTGGGCACTGTGTCCCTGGGCTTCTTTTTGCTCAAGGCTAGCACTCTACCACGTGAGCCACAGTGCCACTTCCGGCTTTTTTCTGTATATGTGGTACTGAGGAATCGAACCGGGGGCTTCATGCATGCAAGGCGAGCGCTCTACCGCTGAGCCACCTCCCCAGCCCCCGGACGTATCTCTTCTGTGTTCATATCTGTGTAGCCTCACAGGCTTCTGTCCCGTTATGTGGGTGACTCTCTATTATTTACCGGTCCCCGTGGATGCTCAGATAGTTGCCGGCTTGGCTGGTGGGATCTTTTTCACACCAGGCCCCTGTGGCACTTAGCACAAGCACATGACATGAGGAGGTCCAGAATAAGACATTCGTGCCTAACCTGTATTTTTCCTGTGCCAACTCTATAGACTATTTCTAGAACCTCCCAGTCTAACAAGTCTGACCCCTCCATGCATACCCTGCCCCCCCACCCCGACCAGGGGAGAAAGGTATCTAGAACCATAATCCTGAGCGTGTAATGCGAGAGAGTCACTGAGACTAGAACATGCTAGAACATCCTAGAACACGTGGACTAGAACTCTAGGGTCTGCGCGTATGTGTGCAAGCCTCCATGCAGCTCCGTGTATATATACACATATTACCTTCTCTGTTTCTCTCTCTCCTGCGGCCATCTCCCCCCTTTTCCTCCCCAGCAACCATCATTCATTCATTCACACTCTCTCTTCCGCCTCCCACTATCCACACCGTATCCGGTGGCCATTTTTCTCCCTTCCTGGGGTAGGCAGGTGTGGCCTTCCTTTCCTGTCATCTGCTCGGCCTTTCCTCGGTGGTAGTGAGCAGGAAAGAAGCCCCGAAGCCAGAGGTCTCCATTCATTCTACAAGCCAGGGCCTTGCTAAGAACTCCTGAGCTCACCAGAGCCTCGTTCAGGCAGCCGTCCCTGACCCATCCATCAGCTGGCAGCCAGGGGAGGCCACTAACCCTCCCCCCCAGGCCAGTGGACTCTGCGAAGTCCCCCGTGCACGTGAGTGTGAGGAAAGGCACAAAAGTCCCCAGCCAGAAGCCAGCTCCCGGGCGCCGGCCTTGCCTGGCGTGCTGATTTCCATTGGTTTATTGGAGACAAGAGTCTCACGGACCTTCTTGCCCCAGGCTGGCTTTGAACCGTGCTCCTCAGATCTCAGCCTCCTGAGTAGCTAGGACGACAGGCATGAGCCCCTGGCAGTCGGTTTACTTTCCATCTTTATTTTTTATTTTGTCTGGTACTGGGGCTTGAGCACTGTCCCTTAGCTTTTCCACACAAGGCTGGAGCTCTACCACTCGAGCCATAGCTCCGCTTACGGCTTTCTGGTGGTTCCTAGGAGATGAAGAATCTCAAAGACCTTTCCCACCCAGCCTAGCCTTGACCTGCGATCCTCAGCTCTCAGCCTCCTCCTGAGTAGCGAGGATGACAGAGGCGAGCCATTCTGGCTGGCCACATCATTTTATAGATAAACTGAGTCCAGCCAATGAGCATAACGGAGTAGGCTGCCCACCAGGGCAGGACACCCTACATCCTAGGATGCGTGATTCTGTCTCTTGAGCCGCCCCTTTA